GTGTGTGTGTGTGTGTGTGTGTGTGTGTGTGTGTGTGTGTGTGTGTGTGTGTGTGTGTGAGAGAGAGAGAGAGAGAACATCAGAAATGTGATTATTTTACATTATGTAATCTGTGTTAAAATAGCTCTCTGGTTTGGAGGTTATCCCTTGAATGCAAGTGCATAGAGTTGGATTTTTTTTTTTTTACTTTATATCGTGATGTATTTTCTTAGGTGTAAATATTATATTGCTGACATGCTTTATCTGGCCAGTATTTGATTACTGTAAAAATCTGAGTTTATTAGACACAGTGAGTCTGAAGAAAGTTCCCACAGTTTGCGAGTTTATGTAATAATCCACTTTGCTTGGTTTTGGTGTTGAATAATAATGATAAGTCAGAAAGGGAAGAAACTCTTTGAGGACTCACTTTTAAATACCATCCCATCGGTTCACATGTGAAAAAAATGAAGAAGCAAGGATTCACCAACATTATAATCAAAACCACCATTGTGCAAAACACAAGACTGGATAGGGATGTGGCCATTTTAGTCAGCAGAACCACCATTCCCTTTGCTTAAAAAGCACTTTAGTTGCCATAACAATAACCATAGCAAATATTTTTTTCTGTTATCGGTCCACCTTACCATCCAGTTCACTTGTTTTATCTGATATTGTGACATGAAAAGAGATAGGAGTCTATCTGCAGCTTCGCTACACGACACACACCGCCGCCGCTTAAACAAACTCCTTGAAGTAATGCTAGCTAAGTCTGTGAAGGAGGAGGAATAATACCAGTAACAGCTGTCATTGTTTGTTTTTACTTCACTTTAGCAAAACCAGTATGTTGGGATGACTACACATCAGCTCCAGCTTAAAACAGCAGTGGATTCAGAAAGATACAATGAGCTCTAGTGTTGGTTAGGGAAAACTGAATCCTCTCCCCAATCAACATCAGTTTGTGAAAAGGTTTGCCACACCAAAGAAAAAATCTGTTATAAACAACCCACCAACTGGAACGGTTAAAATAATTGCCAAGTCTATAAATCTAAGTTTCAGAATTATAAAAAATAAAAGAGCAGCGTTCACAACTTTGAAATGTTGGCGTCATGTCCACTGAGGGGACTAATTCACAGCTCTTAGATCAGCTCAGGTAGACTGTCCCAAGTAGGCAAATGAAGCAGAAAATAATTTTGTCGCGTCGGCGCTCCTTTTATGTGCGGTCAGTTTGGAAAGCTAAATTTAAAACTATCCAACAAGGTGGCTGGAAGATGTGGATGTTGATGGGATTGCAACTTATTGTCTGGCGCTCTGTGTTGACCCTGTGATGGACGCTATGGTACGGTGAAGTGGAGTGTCACTGTTGCTAATATTAACATAAAATCTTCATCTGTAACTTTTGTCAAAGCTGAACTGTTGCACCTAAGAAACACTCACCAAGAAATCAACTAACCATAAGAATGAGATAATAATCCACATTCACCAGTTCAAATCCTGCTCACAGAATTAACATCTTTACCTGGTCAGGTGACCCACTCCTCTCACAAATCAGTCCAAAGCAAGACCTTTTGAAGTACGGCTGTAGCTCAGGACATAGAGCAGGTCATCTATTAACTGGCTGGTGGTTCAATCCTTGGATGCTTCAGTCTGCATGGCAGAGTATCCTTGGGCAAGATACTGAACCCCAGATTGCTCTCTGACGCACTCATAAGAGTGTGAATGTGAGATAGAAAGCACTTAGGCGTAGAAAAAAGTGCTTGCATGAATGAGGCATGTTGTATAAAACACTTTGAGTGCTCAAATAGAAAAGTGCTATACAAGAAACAGTCCATTTACCGGTATGAAGTGCCAACTGTGACCATGTGCCCATTCTGAAAAGTTCCACTATTTTAAAAACTGAATACACTTACCTACTTAGCCATTCACCCCTAACTGCATCCTTGCTGCCTGTTAAACTTATCTGCTTATTAATAAATCAGTTAAACTGGTGACAGTTGTCTTGGTCTGCTTCTAGGTGTTCTGCTCATGATTAAAGTTTTTGCTGTTTGAGGGTCTGGTGCATTAAAGTAAGTATTAACAAAATACCAAAATCTTTTCAGGAATCTCCTAGCAAAGAACTATATCAATGACAAAAAGCCTCAGTTAGCATGTCAAATGTTAAAGTTCAGGATAGTATAATTAGTTTATGGTT